ATTAAACATGAGTACGCTTGAAAGCATCTATTTGACAGACCTGGAGCAGTTACTGTCTGCTTTAAGGTTTCCTACAGATACGAGAGAAAATGTCCTCGTGCTTCCTGTCTGTCTGCTTGTGGCAGCTGTGATTGAATACGGGAATACAGTAAAAAAAAAAAATTAGTGAGCTGAAATGGACTGGTATTGGCTATTTTGAATCAGAAAATGGTATGATTCGCCATGTAGGGAACAACACAAGAGAAATGATATGGCAGTCATGGTCAGAAAGGATCTTGAAAAATCCAACATAAAATACAATGTTATCTGTGATTGGATTTTATCTGTCCGCCTTGAATAAAGAAGACCAAAGAAGAATCAATGCATTTGAATTAGGGTGCTGGAGGAGAATATTGAAAGTACCATGGACTGTTAAAAGGACAACAGGACAGAATTTTTTAAGTGAAAGAAACAGAAGAAAGCCCTGAATGATGTGGGATACTATCAAGGGAAACAACCTACATCTCAATGGGATACAGAACAAAAATAAACAAAACAAAACAAAAAAAACTACAGCAAAAATAATACACCAAATCATGGGGAAAAAATTCACCAATATCACAAAGGAGGATAAAATAACTATTCAAGAAGCTGGTAAAACTCCCAATAGGATAAATCAAAAATAATTATAACACAACATACTTAAATGCTCCAATTTCAAGAAAAGGAGAGAATCCTCAGGGCAGCTAAAGAAAAGAGAACTGACACCTACAACATTTCAAAAAAAAGAATTCTTCATGACCAAAAGGGATTCGTACCAGGGATACAAGGATAGTTAAATGTTAAAAAACAATCAATATAATCTACAACATAAAGAAAATAATGATTAAGAACCACATGATTAATATCAATAGATACAGAAAATAGATTTTAAAATATCCATAACACTCATTTCTGATTTTTAAAAAACTCAATAAATAGGAATAGAAGGTAAATTCCTCAACATAATAAAGGCCATATACGAAAATCTAATGGCCAATATCACACTCAATGGGGAAATACTGAAGACATGTCCCCTGAAAACGGGAACTAGACAAGGGTGCCCCCTCATCACCACTCTTTTGCAACATCATGCTGGAAATCTTAGTCAGAACCATTAAAAAGCAAAAAGACATCAAGGGAATAATACAATTATGCAAAAAAGTGAAGCTCTTGGTATTAGCAGATGACTGGATTTCATAGAGAGACAACCTCAAGGACACCACAAAAAGACTCTTGGAAACAATTTAGCGATTTGATAAAGTAGCAAAATACAACATTAAACCACAGAAATCGATCAGATTTCTATATACCTGTAAACAGAGCTCTAAAAAAGACATCAAGAAAATAATACCATTTACAATATCCACACAAAAGGTAAAATAAAAAAACCAATATATTCAAAGAAAACTACAAAACATTATTACAGGAGACCTACACAACCAGAAGAATATCTTGTGTTCATAAACAGGAAGACTTAATACTGAAGATGTCTATACTACCTAAAGCAAGCTAGAAATTCATTATCCAAATCCTAGCTTCACTTTTTAAGCAAATGAAAAAATGAATTACTAACATTAAAAGGAAAAGGCAGGAGGGTAGAGGGAGAGTGGGTAGGAAAGAGGGAACCAATTACAAGGAACTATATGTGACCTCCTCCCTGGGGTATGGACAACTGAAATGTGGGTGAAGGGAGACGTCGGACAGGGCAAGATATGACAAAATAACAATTTATAAATTATCCACGGCTCATGAGGGAGGGGGGAGCGGGGAGGGAGGGGAAAAATGAGGACCTAATGCCGGGGGCTTAAGTGGAGAGGAAATGTTTTGAGAATGATGAGGGCAATGAATGTACAAATGCACTTTACACAATTGATGTGTGTATGGATTGTGCTAAGAGTTGCATGAGCCCCTAATAAAATGATTTAAAAAAAATTCAGAGAAAAAAATTTTTTTAAAAAAAGGAAAAGGCAGAAGTCCAAGATAAATTTAAACTCCAAAGTTATAAAGTCATCAATGATAAAATTTAGAAAAACTTAAGGGCATGTACAACTACCAGATATAATAAGGGAAGTACTCACAGTGGAAGACAAAATAGATGATTGGGACCTACTAAAAATAAACACTATGCACATCAATCTAAAGTGTAAAACAAGAGGCCACAGAATGGGAAAAAAACTTTAGCAATGACAAAACAGACAAAAGATATTTCATTATTAAAATATACAGGATTCACAAGAAAGGACGCTCAAATAGCTAACAAATATATGAGGAAATGCTCCAAATCACTAGACATCTGGGGAATGCAAAACAAAACAATGATGGGAATATCATCATACACAAAAAGCATTGTAAAGTTGATTATGGCAGATATAATTATGTTAAAATATAATACTATATCATTTGATTTCCCTTTTGACCCATTCTAAAGTTGTTTTTTAATAATTTCTGCTTTCTTTTTGATTGAGGTTTTTCTGTTTCATCTAGTCATTGTTGTTAGGTTTTTGTGTTTGTTTGCTTGCTTGATTATTGTTTGTGTTTTGCATGATTTTCTATATGTGAAATCTAGGACAGGAAGCGCTACAGAAACAGTAGTTGGAACAATAATTGCCTAGGAACATGTCAGGGTAAGATGGAGGAAAATAGAGTGCTAACAACAATCAGTACAAGAAAAAATAATGTTCTGAAATTGGTTAAGGTGATGGTTGCAGAAATCTTCTTAATATGACTGAGCACTTGTATTCCATGTGTCATCATGAGAGACAAAAAAAGGACATTGCATAATGACTAAACAGATGATAGAACAAGAATACATAACCATAATAAAACTATATACACCCAATGAAAGACACTCAATATGTTAATGAATCTCTTATAGAGCTGAAGAGAAAAACAGGCAATACAACAGTAATAGGAGAAGACTTAATACACCACTCTCAAGGAAGGATATATCATTAGGAAAGAAACTTTATACTCAGAATTAATCAAATTAACTTCCTAGACATACAAAGAATGTGGTACCAGAACAGCACAATATAAATTATTTTCTAGTACAATTAGAACATATGCTAGAACAGACTATATGATAGGACACAGTGCAAGCATTAAAAAATGTTTAAATACTTAGATTTTACAATCCATTTTCTTTCCACAATGCTATAAATTTACTAATCAACAACAGAAAGAACAAGGGCAAAGCACTGAATGCATGGAAACTGAACAACACACTGCTTAAAAACTACTGGGTAAGATGTAATACAGAATTTTTTTTTAATTCCTTGAAACAAATGTGAATGACACACAGCTTGCGAAAACCTTTGAGACACAAATGCTGGATAGGTGCAGAGAGATTATAATACTCATATCCATCATCCTGTTGATACTGTAAATATATACAACCATTGGGGAAAAGCGATATGGTACTAGCTCAAACAACTAGGAATAAAAATTCCAGCAAACCCTTTGCTGGGTATATCCCCTAAAGAAGTAAGCGTCATAGCATGAACAAACATATGCATACAAATGCACATCACATACCTATTCACAACAGCACGAAGATGGAAAAAAATCTAAATGCCCATCAGTGAAGAATGTATAAAGAAACTTTGGTATAGTATTGGAATCCTATGTGACACTAAAAAATCATGATAAACCCAGGAAATGCCACATGGCACGTACCAATGTGGCGAATATTATACTGAAATTATTCAATCATGAAAGGGCAAATACTGTATGAGACCACTGTTATAAAGGAAGGAAAACAAATGAGATGAAGACTTTCCTATCAAAGGGAACAGACTCTGGAGATTATGGAGTAGGGGCAGGGCAAGGGAGGGAAAATGAAGCAGTAAACTGTGGGTTGACATGTATTAATTTTAGAGAAGGGGAAGATAGTAATCCACCAGAGTGAAAAGAAAAATCAAAGGAGTTGATAAGTAGTTTAAACTTCCAAATACAAAATTGATCATTTGAAATGTAAAACCCCACCTAATTCAATTAAAAATGATTTTTTTTAAATGAATGAAAACAAAACATGGTATATACATAAACAAAGCAAAACTGACTGCCACTAAGTCAATGATGACTCATAGCTACCCACCAGAGGTTTCTGAGGCTGTCTTTCTCCCTTGGAACTGCTGGTGGTTTCGAACTGCCAAACATGCAGCCCAATGAATAACCATTACACAACCAGTAATCCTCATGGTATATACATACAATGGAATATTATTCAGTCATAAAAAATTATGAAATTCTAATATACGCTACAAGATAGATGAACCTTGAAAATATGATGGGTGAAATAAGACACAAATCATAACTGTGGTACAGTTCCACTTATATGAAATATCTAGAGCAGGGGTCCTCAAACTACGGCCCGTGGGCCACATGCGGCCTGCCGAGGGCATTTCTCTGGCCCTCCGGGTGTTTTTGCCCCATTTGTTTTTTTATTTCGAAATAACATATGTGCAGTGTGCATAGGAATTCGTTCATAGTTTTTTTTTTAAACTATAGTCCAGCCCTCCAACAAGTCTGAGGGACAGTGAACTGGCCCCCTGCTTAAAAAGTTTGAGGACCCCTGATCTAGAGTAACAAATTTATAGAGACAGAAGGTAGATTAAGGTGTGCCAGGGACTGAGAAAAGGGGAAAGGGGAGAAGTAGTTCTTAATACGTAGAATTTTTGTTTATGGTGACGGAAAAAGTTCTGTAAATACATGGTAGTAGTTACACAACACTGTGAATGTAATTAATGCCACTGAATTGTACACCTGAAAATGGTGAAAGTGGCAAAATTTATAATTTACTGCCAATTTTACAAGCTGTGTTTAAAAAACAGACTTGTACATTATATCTTGCACACATTTTTAGTCAAGAGTCAAACATAAAATTTATATGTATGTAATATATATAACATGTGTATTTAAATTTTAATTTTGTACAGTGATATTCAAGAAGTATTTAATTCTGCCATGGAAAAACTTACGAATCAACATGCAGAACCCTCTGGCCACTTCTTGAACATGCAGCGGCAATGATGGATTCAGGCAAACCTATAAAACATATACCTATATCATTTAGAATGTAAAAATATGTTATACAAAATGCTCAATTTATGCTATTACTGTGTACAATAATTTTAATTAAAAGGCCCATCCTTATATTAAAAATAAATTTTACAGTATTCTACTATAAAAATTATAGTATTAATATAGTATTATAAAATTTTCAGTATAGCAATACTGAAAAATTCATTGTAAATATTATTTTCAAAAGAAAAGAAGTTCTTTGTATCTGATTGCCATAACTTAGCAGCTGTCAAAATATTGTTCATATTGCACTTTATTAAGGAACCTTGTTCACAAACTATCTCATATGATTCTCCTAATTTCAATGAGCTACAAGGATCAGTATGCATATTTTAAGGAGGTACAGTGGCCCAAATGATTGGGAACTACGCTGCAAATCAAAAAGGTGGTAGTTTGAACCAACCCAGGGATCTACAGGAGTCAGTTTTCTAATTCCATAGAATATGGTCAAGAAAACCCTATGTAGTCATTTACATAGGATCACAGCTGAAAACAGAAGTTGAAAATAACTGTATGGCACCAAACACAAACAACAATGAATATACCAGAAATAAAAAAGAAACTGGGAACAAATATGTTCATTGGTTACCCAATCATTTAAGAAAGAGTCTAAAGAGTTGGGAAGTTGAACCAGATCTAATTTCAAAATAACATTGTATCTGAGGAGAAATGCTACACAGTATTTGTTTAGGCTATAAGTTAGTACTAAAAGACACTGGGCATAACATCCTTCATAGGACACAACAGAAGGATTGCATGTGGAAACCCCAGCAAGTGAACTGGGATTTATCTCAAACTCACCTAGAGTGGATTTAAGGAGTGGACACACTTATGGCTGAAATGCCCTAGTGTGAGAAGCAGCAGATGGCTGCTATCTCAAGGTTTTGGAATTGATGGTTCTTGGACTTTGGCTCAGATCTCTTACTTTAAGGGTGCTCAATGAATGGTTAGCCTGGGACTACCATATATTTGACATTTTAATGCTATGCTTGTCTTATTACATGTATTAGTCTGATGGGAATTATTCTATCTCTGTGAATGAGTGTTATTGAAAGTTATGTCCTATCATTAACCCCCATTATTTGTATAAATATATTTGTACAATAATTAACATCCTGCCATCTGAAAATCCAGCTTTTATATATATACATATGAGGGGGTACCGGGTCCCCCCCCCCCAAGAACTATGTGTTTAAATTTTTTTTAAAAACCTTACCACCTTCAAAGTCAAAGTACTCTCCATTACACTTACTACAGTTGTCAAATCTGTGATTCCACTCTTGGAAACATTTTTCTTTCTTTTTTTTTCCCAAGACAAATTTCATTTATTTGCAGTTAGAAAGAAATATTTCACAATATATAATTACATAGTTTTTGTTATTAAACACTATGCTTTAATTTTTTTAAATCATTTTCATTGGGGGCTCATACAATTCTTGTCACAATCCATACATACCTCCATTGCATCAAGCACATATGTACATTTGTTGCCATTATCATTCTCAATACATTTGCCTTCTACTTGAGCCCTTAATATTGGCTCCTCATTTTCCCCCTTCCCTCCCCACTTCCCCTCCTTCAAGAACCCTTCATAATTCATAAATTACTATTTTGTCATGTTATACTGACCGACGTCTCCCCCGCCCTCTTCTCTACTGTCCATCCCCCAGGGAGGAGGCCATACGTAGATTCTTGTAATCGGTTCCCCCTTTCCACCCCACATTCCCTCCACCCTCCAGGCATCGCCACTCTCACCACTAGTCCTGAAGGGGTCATCTGTCCTAGATTCCCTGTGTTTCCAGTTGCCATCTGTATCAGTGTACATCCTCTGGTCTAGCCAGATTTGTAAAGTAGAATTGGGATCATGATAGCGGGGGGTGGGGGTGGGTGGGAGGGAGGAAGCATTTTTCAAACTCATCTATTTGGATAGCTGACAGCACATCCCTCGATTTTTACTTCACCTCTTCTGTTATCAAATCGCTGTCCTTTCATATCCCTCTTCATTCACAGAAACAAAAAGAAGTCCACGGAGCAAGGTCAGGTGAGTAAGGTGCATGGAACAAAAGAGGCATGCTGTTTTTTGCCAACAACTGGCACATTGAGATGGTTGTGTGAGCAAGTGCATTGTCGTGGTGGCAAAACCAGTCCACCATCTGCCACAAACCAGGTCTTTTTTGTCACACACTGTTCCACTATCTTTTCAGAACCTCTTAAAAGAAAGCTTGATTAACAGTCTGACTTGGTGGAACAAACTCCAAATGCACTGTGAGTTGGCATTTTCATTTGGGAAGTTGACAGACAAGACTCCTAGAACAAGGAAGTTTGTCATCAACATTTTACCCTTTTTGAAATGAGAAAACCACTTGTACACTTGAGTTATTCCCATAGCACTGTCCTTGTAAGCTGTATTCAACATCACAACAGTTTCTGTGGCATTTTTCCTGAGCAGGAATTAAAATTCCACACTGGCACGCTATTCTCTTAAATCAGACATGGCAAAAAAAAAAAAGATTCGAGTGAAACTGCTTTTATGAAAAAATTCACTGTGACCAGAGAGAACCTTCCCAGGTGACGCAGAGCTAGTTGTTCAATGCTCGCCTAGCAGGAAAAATGCATACATAAAAGCTCCACCCAGTGGAGGTTTTTTCTGGTTTTCTGGGGGATACCCCCTCATATATATACCATAGATATATGAAGGGGTCCTGGGCTCACACTTGATTCTAGCCCAAATCTAAGGCCAATTAGTTCTTATGACATGGCCCTGCTTGACACTTACCCTCATGAAGAGATATCTGAAGATATGGGTGATATAGCAAAATGTGGGGAAGAAATTAGATGGTGTCCAGCTCACAGAAAGAATCGCTTCTTGGGTCTTACAGGCTTGTCTTCAAACAAGTAACCAAGTGAGGTGTCAACTAAGTCCACATGGAAGAAGCCCACCTGCCTGTGTGATCCAAGGACTGCAAATAACAGAATTCAAATCTGATAGAGGGAATGGTATAACAGCTTAACTTGTGGACACCCAGTTTGCAGAAGGCTGTGGACAACAGTGGAAGCCAAAAATCCACTTACAATGCCCATACATAGAGTAAACCTCTGGTGACAGCCCTTTGATCAGAGTCAAAGGATGTGAATATACTTATTAGACAAAGAGCACTGTAGAGGGGATTATAGTAGATAGTTTAAAAAGTAATATCTTATTTGATCTCCATTTGACCCATTGAAAAGTTGTTTCAGGTTTTAAAAAAAAGTGAAGGGGAAATACATGTTGATTAATCCTCTAGTGAATCCTCTCTGACCATAGACCAGGGATGTTAATAGCCTTGCTATCATATAGAGTGAATTGGAAAGTAGATTATGGCGGATGTAATCAGGTTAAAATTTAAGACCTTAGCTATTAAACCATTTTAAAGTTGTTCTAGTTTTAATTTTTTCTGCTTTCTTTGCAATTGAGGCTTTTCTCTATTTTATTTTGTTAGTGTTGTTAGTTTGGTTCTTTGTTTTTGCATGTTTTCAGAACAGCAAAATGTGTATGCTTTCTTTAACCCTTTGACAGTTTTCTATATTGACAAGAAAGAATTTCAACTATGCCCCAAATTACACAAATAGCCAATCTGGTCAAAACCTGCAAGCAAAACAAATGATCAATGAGGAGCAAAACAGGAAAAAAAGAAAATCTATAAACAACCAGATGAGGAATGTGATAGAATTCTTGGTAAAAGATACACAAAAGTCTTTCCTATAAAGGAGCTAACTAGAAAAAGAATCTAATACCCCTTTCCACTGATCTCCATAGAAACTATGAGCCCTCTCTGGCAAGTTAAACAGGCAATAATGATGATTTTTAAAAAATCTCAGAAGGGTATTATGAGCCTTAAAAATAATTATCTGAGCACTTACAAATTTACAGAATCATTTCCTTGAATTCTCAACATGGTTCTGTGATGTTTATTCCTATTTTATAAATGAGAAAATTGAAGCTTACAAGAGGCTAAGGAACATGCCTACAGTAGCACAAGAGGCAGAGCTGAGACTCAAACCCAATCTATTTGATTCTAGAGCCATACACTGGTCAAAATGAGAAATGTATAAGTAACTAAACATATGGATGTTAGACCATTTTTTAAACTAAAGGATATTTGAAAATAACATTTGACTCTCAATCACTGTTATTCAGTTTATGAATAATCTCTAGATTTTAAAACTGGCCTTAGCCTATAGTGGGATAAACACAGGCAGATAGATAGCTAGATGATAGATTCATAAGTAGATACATATACAGATAACAGTACTCAATGATACATATATGGAACATGTTTTATAAAGCAATATTCAATCTCACTACATGTAATGATTTCTAAGATATTCTTTATGTTTTTAATGTTGAGGGCTATTTCATAATGCACAAATAGGTATCATCTTGCAATTAAATATATATATAATTGCATACACAAACCAAACCATTTGCCATTGAATCGATTCTGACTCATGATGATCCCATGAGCACATGAGTAGAACTGTACTTCATGAGGTTTCCACAGCTGTAACTTTTAGGAAGCAGACAGCTAGACCTTTCTAGACCAAAAACAACAACAAACCAAACACAACTCACTGCCATTGCATTGATTCCAACTCAGTGACCCTATAGGCCAGTGTATGGGAACTCTGGAGATATGTGGGTTACCTGTTAGGTCAGCAGTTCTGCTCCGCCAGTAGCTCTGAGAGAGAAAGCTATGGCTTCCTGCTCCTGAAAAGACGGAAAGCCTCAGAAACCCAAAAGGGCAATTCTACTCTACCCGACAGGATTGCTGAGTCAGAATCAACTGAAAGACAATAGGTCTGGGTTTTTGTGTTTCGTTTTGTTCTTTTTTAATCATTTTATTAGGAACTCATACAGCTCTTATCACAATCCATACATCCATACATTGTGTCAAGCATATTTCTACATTGGTTGCCATCATCAT